AACCAGTGATTGCCACAGTCTCAGAGGATGAGTTGAAAAAGAGTACTTCTTACTGACTGTACCATTCTCCTTCAAACTGGCCTTACAGAATATCTGTTTTACCATTTTATTAAAAAAACATTTTTATTTTATGTGTATTGGTGTTCATGGTTGTCTGTGTGAGGGTGTCAGATCTTGGCATTACAGACAGTTGTGAGCTGCTGTGTGGGTGCTGGGAATTATACTTGGGCCCTCTAGGAGAACAGCCAGTTCTCTTAATTGCTGAGCAATCTCTCCAGCCCTATTTTACCCTTTTTGAAGGTTAAATTTCTATTCTTAGGGACAAAAGGGACAGTGCATTTCTTTGATGTCAGAATACACTGGAGAATAATTGTTTGGCCTTCTAGGGGAGCATTAAATATCTACAATCTTTAAATGACCTCTCTTGTCCTGATAGGAATTGTCTCATTGACAGTGTATCTTTATAAAGTGTTGGTGAGGAGGGCAAGTCCACAGCATGAACTCATTCCTCTCAGCTTGCTCTGCACTGTGCTTTCCTGATTTATCTTTTCCAAGAAAGGGAACAGCTTCTCTCTCAGGGCAGGAGGGAGGATCTGGGGTGGAACTTCCTCTTCAGACTTCCTGGGACCTTCCTTTTTCAGCTATCCATATTCCTAACCTTCATAGGTATTTGTTTCCTCTAATTTGGGACCTTTCTGAGATCATATAGCTTACTTCATGGCATTGCCCTTTCTGACCTGCTGAGTGTGTTACTCATTCATCTGCTTTTTGTTTTTTAAAACAAGGTTTTGCTGTGTGGCCTTAACTGACCTGGAACTTGTTATATAGACCAGGCTGGCCTTGAACTCATTAAAGATTTGAACTTGGAGACCCTCTAGTCTCGCTGAGATTAAAAGTGCATACCACCTAGTGCGACTGTTTCTTTTACAAGTTTTATTGATCTTCTTTCATTAGCTTTGCCTGTGGGGCTTTTCCTCACTCATCCACACACGTTATTTTTGACAGGGTCTCATTGTAAATCACCAAAGCTGGCCTTTAACTTGTGAGCCATGCCTCAGTCCCCTGGCTGCTAGGATTATCGGAGGATATGTGTACCTAGTGGGGTTTTGCCTTTTTAAAATCTAACTTCCAGCCGGGAGGTGGTGGCGGCACATGCCTTTAATTCCAGCACTTGGGGTGGGTGAATCTCTTTGGGCGAATTCCAGGACAGCCAGGGTTGTTACACAGAGGAAAAACCACCCAAACACACATGCCCAAAATCTAACTTCTAGCTGTGCATAGTGGCGCACACATATAATTCCAGCATCTGTGAAGCAGAGGCAGTAGGCTTGCTAATTCAAGGCCAGCCTGAGTAATTTAGAAAGATCTTGCCCCTCCGCAGTCCAGTGTTGAATGTATCATTGGGCTTTGAAGAAGAGACCAAGGTAAACATATATTTAGCCCTCCATGTGTTTTCCTCACAGGAAAGTGATGCATAGAAAGGTAACATTGAGGCTTGGCAGTTGATGCGCACATCTTTAATCCCAGCACTAGGGCCAGCAGAGGCAGGCGGATCTGAGTTTGAGACCAACCTGTTTACAGAGCTAGTTACAGGACAGCCAGGGCTACAGAGAAACCCTTGTCTCAAAAAATCACACAAGACAGGGACGGGTAATGTGGGGGGGGGGGGAGTGGAGAAGATGGGAACCTTTTCTTACTACATTGTTAGCAAACTTGCATTCCACATTATCTGTTGGTTTCTGGTTCATAGTGGGTCATGTGTCATTTCTTCCACTCCTCTTACGGTGGCTAGTGTCTACAGAACTTTTAGTGATACGAGATATCATTAACTTCTGAAATCATGTGTTTGGCTTTTCTTTTTTTTTATATTTATTTATTTATTATGTATACAATATTCTGTCTGTGTGTATGCCTGAAGGCCAGAAGAGGGCGTCAGACCTTTTTACAGATGGTTGTGAACCACCATGTGGTTGCTGGGAATTGAACTCAGGACCTTTGGAAGAGCAGGCAATGCTTTTAACCACCAAGCCATCTCTCCAGCCCTCTTTTTTGTTTTTTGAGACAGGCTATATACCCCAGGCTGACTTAGAACTCGTGTGGCTGAGGATGACCTGGACCCTTCCCTCCTCTTCCTTTATTTACTTGTTTCACAGTTTTATATACATAAATACAGTATACTTTGACTGTATTCATCTCTCATTCTATTATCCCCCCTCATAGAACCCTTTCTTGCCTCCAAGCCCACCTCCTACTTCATCTCTCTCTCCTCTTTTTGACTTTTGAAAAAGGGTTTCTTGGGCTGAAGAGATGGCTTAGCCGTTAAAGGCTAGGCTCACAACCAAAAATATAAGAGGAAGGGTTTCTCTTTGTAGCTCTGGCTGTCCTGGAACTAGCTCTGCAGAGCAGGCTGACCTTGAACTCACAGAGATCCACCCGCCTCTGCCTCCCAAGTGCTGGGATTAAAGGTGTACAACCACTCTCTTTTTCTGGTGTCCCACTACATTTAGTTGTTGCTTGCAGGAGCATGGGTGACGGGTTATTACTTGAGAAAGAATAAGTTAGCCAGTGGCTACTCTACTGAAGAATATGATCCCCCCCTCCCCCAATAACCTTTGATTATCTAGAGATCCTCAGGGAAGAGTAGGTGAGCCCTGATGGAATGTTGCTGGGCCCAGTCTTGTACAGGTCCTCAGTAGACAGCCATCGCTGCTGTGAGTTTGTGGGCACAGCAGCCGGTCACACCCACACAACAGCGGTCCACAGCACTTTATCTTGCGCTCTTCATTCTTGTCCCTTCTTCCTTGTTCCCTGAGCCTCGCAGGGTATATACGCTACCAATGTCCCTTTTAGAGCCAAGCATTCGAGTCATGTGTTTATATCGCTTTGCTCAGCTATGAGTCTGTATTAACTTCTGCTGACTCCGTACAGAGCAGCACCAGTCTGTGGGTATAGACATAAATACCCAGAAGGCATTGTGATCCCATGTCCTTTCGTCAGAGCTCTACTACTTGTAGGGCTTGTCACCTGCCCAGCCCTGGGGTTTTGACCAGGTTTATAGTGCCAGGCGTGAATACCCTTCTGTGGGGGCAAGCCTCAGATCTCACTGGAATTGGTTGGTGTCCTCATAACCTTTGTGCCACTGTTGCTTGTTGCTCCATGCACATCTTGCCTGGTAGGTTGTAGCTTTCAGGGTGCATAGCTGCATAAGATTGATGACCGTTCTCCCACAGACCTTGAGCTGATCTTTCTACCTCATTTCCTGAGGGTTAGAGTTGATTATGCGTGTGCGTCTTCATGACTAATGCAGGCTAGGCTGGCACTGACGGTTGGAGTGTTGTGTCTGGTTTTCATTCATCCTGCTCACTGCTCACCTCTGTCAGCTGTTCCTGGCATTCTGTGTGTGTGTGTGTGTGTGTGTGTTTGTGTGTGTTTGTCTGTGGCTCTTACAGTCACTTGAGAGCCAGTGTAACTAGGTGAGAGCAGCTGGCGAGGTGCTGTTCCTTACAGACAGACTCTGACTTGTGGAAGTGGAGCCTGGTCTCCTGAGGTTGATGGCTATGTGGACCAAAGATAACTTTCCCTTTAAAAAAAAAATTGCCAGGGGCTGGAGAGATGGCTCAGAGGTTAAGAACACTCACTGATTGCTCTTCCAGAGGTCCTGAGTTAATTCCCAGCAACCACATGGTGGCTCACAACCACCTGTAATGAGATCTGGTGTCCTCTTCTGGCGTGTGGGCATACATGGAAGGAATGTTGTATACATAAATAAATAAATCTTTAAAAAAAATTGCCGGCAAAAGTTGTTTTCCTGTTGGCAAATTATAAATAAGCTGATATGAATCTGTCCGAAGTGGTATTTGGTGCTTCTCCCATACTGTCTTTCACTCTGCCATTGAGAACACAGAATCTGAATGACATGCTTCAAGTCACTTAGCTAGTGAGAAACAAACTCTGTGCCTAGCAAGGTGGCTCCAGTACTAAAAACTCAGAAATTCTCTTCTGAGTCTTTGCCTTGTATGTTCTATTAGAAACTGATGCAGCGGGCTGAAGAGACGACTCAGCAGTTAAAAACACCTGTTGCTTTTGCAGAGGACCCAGGTTCGATTCCAGGCACCTACATGGTAGCTTACAGCCATCCATAATTACAGTTCCAGGGGATCCAACATCCTGTTCTGACCTCCTCAGGCAGTAGGCATGTGAGTGGTGTACCTACATACATGCAGCCACATACTCAAGCACATAAAATAAAAATAAATCACAAAAACTGGTATATACTGAGAAGTTTTGGTTTTTGCTTTGTTTTTTGAGACAGGGTTTCTTTGTGTAGTCCTGGCCATCATGGAACTAGCTCTGTAGACCAGGCTGGCCTCTAACTCAGAGATCTGTCTGCCTTTGCCTCCTGAGTGTTGGAATTAAAGGCATGCATCACTAACCACTGCCTGGCAAGTTTGTTTTTGTTTTGTTTTGTTTTTTCGAGACAGAGTTTCTCTGTGTAGCGCTGGCTGTCCTGGAACTTTTTATGTAGACCAGCTGGTCTCCAACTTGCTGAGATTCGCCTGCTTCTGCCTCCCAAGTGTTGGGATTAAAGGTGTGTACCACCACCGACCAGTGGTTTTTTGTTAAAGGTGTCACTCACTATACAGCACTGATTGACCTAGAACTCACTATGTAGAAGAGACTGGTCTACAACTCGAGATTGAGGTCCACCTGGCCACAGCTTCCCCAGTGCTGGTGTTAAAGGCTTGTGTGACCGTACCCTGACAGTTCTTGAAATGTCTTCATCAGAGGCAGGTGTAAAGAAAATAGGGCTTGTTAAATGTTCATGTCTTTTTTCTTTCCTTTTCTCCTTGCAGTGAGACCTTCAGTCAGGTAGGATTTCTTTATGACTGATAGAATACATTGGAATGCATATGTTCTTTTTCATTTTTCTGATCTTAGCTGTGATATGTCTTTATGGCATATTTACAGTGAAATCTAACTTTACATTTTTTTCTGTTTAGGTACATCAGTTCTCATTATGCATCAGAAAAATGAAAAAACAGAAGAAAATTCTATGGAAAAAAGGAATTCACTTAGCCTTTTCTGAGAAATGGAATACTGGGTTTGGAAGCTTTAAGAAGTTCTATTTTCCTCAAAACTTGTGCTTTCTGAAAGCTAAGCTGGGAAGGCCGGTTGTTTGGGGTCAACAGCTGAGGCATTTCCAGTGTAGTAAGAAGGGTCCTCACATCCAGAAGTCATGGATTCAGGATGTGCCGCTTTGTGCAAAGGCCAGGTCTGGAGTGGCTGCTCAGAATGGTAGCACTTTGTATGCCAAAGTGAGCAGGAAGGACACCAAGCACTTCCTTTCTTCCTCAAGGAGCTTCCTGAAACTCCAAGCAGATAAGTTACTGTCATCAGCAAAGAACTTGGACCATGGATACTGCAGAGAGAAAAGGCTCCTGACGGCAGTCACTAGCTTGTCAACAAATACTGTCTTAGGTAAGGCCAGTGGTCACAAACCTAGGACAGGCCCACAGGCTTCAGACTTTCCCATGAAGTTCAATGGGGAGAGCCAAAGTCCAGGTGAGAGCGGCAAGATTGTGGTCTTGAACAAACATAGAAAGCGTGTCTGTTATGGCTGCTACCAAGGGCTAGAGCACCACAGGAATGGGAAACCCTTGATTCCGAAAAAGTTCCAACTTAATCAACATCGAAGAGTCAAAGTGTCTCTTATGATGCATGAGAAATTATCCATGATTAGATTTCGGTATAGGATTTTCAGATCCCAGCACTTCAGAACGAAAAACAGAGTTTGCAAGCTAAGAAAAGCCCAGAGGAGCTGGGTACAGAAGGTTGCTGGGGACCATCAAGAGAACCGTAGGGATAACACTGAGGCTGGCAGTTGCAGCCCGGTCCCTTCCCCAGAACCTGAGGACCCTTGTCAGTGTCAGCCATTCCTTACAGACATGGATGGCAGTGCCGTGGTGAAGGGAAAGAACTTGCATGTGCCTGATGGTCACACTAAAGAAAGCCCTTTCTTGGACAAGGAGCGCAATGTAGATGAAGCCTTCCCTGAGCAACAGAATGGCTCTACCACATACGCCTGGGACCAATCACCCTCTTCTAAATGGGAGTGTACAGAGCAAATTCACGAGATCCCTTTAACAGAACATCCTCCTAGTAACAAGCTCACTTCGGAAACGGAAAGAGCAGTTCTGACTCTGGGTCAGGAGAGTGGGACAGGTGCTGTCAGTGACGACAGAGTAAGACTGCCAGTGTCTGGAGCAGATACATCTGTGGGTGCTGTGGATGGGCCTGTGTCTGAAGAGCCTCCTCAGAACGAGCACTTCCAGATGGAGGAGGATGGGTCTGTTAAGCAGAACATCCTTAGTTCTAAACTGCTGGACCACCCTTACTGTAAAAGTCCCCTGGATGCCCCCTTGGTGTGCAGTGAACTCAAAGCAGAAAACCAAATGGCGGGTGGCAAGGGCAGTCAGAAAGCGTCTCCCGTGGATGATGAGCAGCTGTCAGCCTGCCTCTCCGGTATGCACTGTTCTTTGTTGCCCTCCATTATCCTTCCCAGAAGTCTTGGTTCACCCTCCCACACATGGCTTTCCCTGGAGGCCATTGGATGTTCGTGGTGCCTTTTACACTGCTCCCTTATGGAGATGTTGCTTAGCTCCCTTCTCGGTTTGCTGATGGACACTTGGATTGATTTTGCTATGAGGGTTCAATGAACTTTTGTACACAATTGTTTCTGTAAGTTAAATTGCTATTGAAATTGCTGGTAAAAGAATGTTGATATTCAAACAGTTTAAGAGAATGGCCAAATTGCCTTTTAAACCTAAGTTTTACCAGTCAGTCATACAGATTACAGATGAGAATTTTATAAGATCAGGTCTTTGTTTTTAGACAGAATCTTAGGTAAAAGTCAGTCTGGCCTCAAACTTGCATGCAGTCGAGGATGACTGAATTCGTGATGCTCTCAAGTGCTGGATTACAGGTATGTTATCACCATACATGATTTATATGGGGCTGTGGATTGAACGCAGGGCCTCGTGCATGAGAGGCAGACATTCTGTCAACTGAGCTCTACCCAGCCTGATGACTTCTGTGTGTTTGGCTGCATTTGATTGGTACATAGTTTTTCTTTACCTAGTTCTCCTTAGGATTGTTTCTCTTTTATTAATATATGAGAAGCTCCTGTATACCAGCCAGAATTCTGTTATCTATGAATATAGGAACAAGCAGAATACAATGATCTCTGCTTCCATGGACCACCATATCAGTTTAGATATAAAGATGCCAAATTAATTGTAATTGCCAAGGATTGTCACTCCCAGAATATAACATTCTTTAGTGCCACAACATTGTTTGTTGTTTAGACAAATTTTAAAGTTTTTGTTGTTGTTTCTTTTTTCTTCTTAACAGTATTATTTATTATTTCTTTGACAGTTCCATATCTGTATACAGTGTATCTTTTTACCTTTTTCTTTTAGTTGGGGTTTTACTGTATCTCTCTGACTGTCCTGGAATTTGCTATGTATATCAGGCTGTCCTTGAACTCACAGAGATCCATCGGCCTTCCAAGTGCTGGCCTCCTCCCTCTTCTTTTTTGTGAGACTGTGTTCACTGTGCATCCCAGATTGACTTTGGACTTGGCATCCTCCTGTCTCATCTTCTCTGGTGCTGGTATTAATGGTATTAAAAGGCAAGAGCCACCATGCCCAGATTACACAGTTCTTAAAAGAATCTGCTCCAGACTCTGTCTCCCAAATGCTGAAATTAAAGATGTGTGCCACCATGCCTGGTGTTATACAGTGTAACTTGATCATATGCAACCCCAACTTTCTCTCCCTGGCACCCCTAACACATCCCTCTTTTCCTTCCTTGCTCCTTCCATCCGTCCCCACTGAGACCTAATTGGACAGTGCTGTTGGGATGTTGACTGATTTTGTTGGTTGACCTTGTGCTGGTGACCATAGCTGCTGTGAGCTCAGGGTGCAATGGTCATGATTTCAAAATATTAAGGTTTCCTGATTTCTCCATTCATTGATGTAGACTAAGACCCCTGTGTAGAAACAAGATAGCTATTAAAATACAAAGGCTGGGAATATAGCAGACATAAATACTCTTGGGGCTGGAGAAATAGCTCTATGATTAACAGACCTGGCTTAGGCAGAGACCCAAAATGACAGCTCACAACCATCTGTAATTCCGGTTCCAGTGGATCTGATACCCTGTTCTGGCCTCCTTAGGCATTAGGCACACATGTAGTACACAGACATAAGCAGAAAAAACACCCTTATACATAATAAAAACAAAAAATTTAAAAATGTTGTGTGCTTTATTCTTAGAACCTTCAACAGACATGGGTGAAGAATCAGAGGTAATGATTTAAAAAACCTAGGGCTGGGCTGGGAAGATGGCTCAGTGGGTAAAAGGTGAAGGCACTTGCTGCCAGGCCTAATGACCTGAGAACCATCTCCCACGTGCTGTCCTTTGACCTCTGTTTGTGTGCTTTTGGCAGGTGTGCCTTACTGTACAGACACACACACACAGCGAATGAACAAATGGAATAAAAATAAGGAATAAAGGGCTGAGGTGCATTCTGTGGTTTGTCCAGCATATCTGGGGCCCTGAGTTGGGTTCCCAGAAAGTTGGGAGCCACTCTGGTGGGAGCTGAACAGGAGGAAATACAGGGTCTTCATCTTCCTCTGTGCAGCAGAGTCCTTTCCATTTTGAATTGACAGCCTAGCAGAAACCATGGTTTGGAGCCACAGAACGAGCTGGTTACGGTTTTCCCATCATAGTCCAGATCAGCTGTCAGCCTAGCAGGCCATGGCTCTTCCTTCTCAGCACATCCCTTTGTGAGCCCCTGAGCCTTCCTCAGCTTCTTTGTTATCTGTTTATAAGCAATGTTGTTGTTTTTTTTTTTTTAGTGGAGACTTTGCTCAGTGGCCATGATTGAAACCATTAAATTAATATGTACATCAGTTGACAGCAGACGGCCTTATAATCTGGCTGAAATCCCTTTTGAAATTGTTTCCTTGGTTGTAGATGTAGCTCTGTTGGAAAAACTCTTATACCACAGCTAAATAAATAATAAAAATTGTTTTTTAAAAATCCCTGTTTTAAACTAGGTCTCTCTAGAGCCTGGCCTGGTCTATAATCCCAGCTGCTGCTGGAGGTTGAGTTGGAAGGTCTTAGGCCAGCCTAGGCCACAGAGGGAAAGGCCTTGCTCAGTTACCCAGTCAAGCTTCCCTCCCCTCACGGGGCTATTCAAGCCTTGTGAGTAGTAGGTGTGTTCTTCTGTGTGGATGGAGCTGCCCTCAGACTTACTATGGTCCTCCTACCGTTGCTGTCTCAATGATGGGATTGCAGGCATGTGAAGGCATGTGCCACCGAGATTGATTCTGTGCTCTGTTAACAATGACCGAATTGAAATAATACAGGGATGATGGTCTTAACCGATTTTAAAGGTTTTTTTTTTTCATTTCTGTTTTTTTGTTTGTTTTTGTTTTTAAAGAAATTAACTACTAGGGTTCCCTAGGCATATTTAACCAGATGGTTTGTTCTCATCCTCTTCCCTCTGTTCCCCATCCTGTCTAAGAGATATCATGTTATGCTACCCTGGTGTCTTAGTCACTGTTCTATTGCTGTGAAGTGAGACCATGGCCAAGGTAACTTATAAAAGAAAGCATTTAATAGGGGCTTACTTACATTTTAGAGGTTTAGTCTGTTATGATGGGGAGCTTGGTAGGACACAGGCAGACACGGTACTGGAGAAATTGGTGAAAGTTGTACATCTGATCTGTAGGCAGCGAGACACTGCTTGACATGAGCATTTGAAACCTCAAAACCCACCCCCAGTGACACACTTCCTCCAACAAGGCCACACCTCCTGTAGCCTGTCATTCTTATTCAAGCCACACCTGCTATCCCAGAATTCCTGTGTCCCAGTGGTCGGCCAATGGCTCAGCTTTTCCACTAGGCTGAACCACAGGTTTCAAGATCACACTATGGAAATGTTTCTCTTTAGTCTTGACAAGCCCTCTAAGTGTCAGGAGTTTAAAAATACAGTATGAGCTGGATGTGGTGGCGCACACCTGTGACCATAGCATGTAAGGAGGCTGACGAGGTTTAGACCCAACCTCTGTTCTGTATGGATGGCACAGCTTTGGGTTAAGGTCAGCTGAAACCACGAAAACCCAGTGTGAAGTGGCAGTTTGAGCATTTCTTTGTGAGTTGCAATGGCAAAGGGCCCAACTCTAGCCTTTTGTTTTAAGTGGCGTTACTGTGTTTTTGTTGTGTGCTCTAATAGATGTGTTACATGCTATGAGAACAACTTTGCTGAAAATTTCCCATGTTTTTCTTTTTCCTTTATGTAAGGATTCCTAGATGAGGTTATGAAAAAGTATGGAAGTTTGGTCCCACTCAGTGAAAAAGATGTCCTTGGGAGATTAAAAGATGTCTTTAATGAAGACTTTTCTAATAGGTATGTCAGTGATGTAAAAGTTAAGCCTGTAGTTACTGCCAAAAATGACTTTTCCCTTAAGAGAAAAGAAATAATTATATGTTGAAAAATGCATTTAATCTTTTCTTTCAAAATCTGTTTTAGAAAACCATTTATCAATAGAGAAATAACAAACTACCGGGCCAGACATCAAAAGTGCAACTTCCGCATCTTCTACAATAAGCACATGCTAGACATGGATGACCTGGCAACCCTGGATGGTCAGAATTGGTTGAATGACCAGGTTAGTGCCTTGTGGTTTTCGGGGTAGAAACTTGCACAAGATGTTGGCCAGTAAAACATACCTTTTGGGTTGGCTTTCCATTTTTCTTTAAAAACGGTCTGACTCAGGTTTTACTATCTTCACTACTATCAACGCAGGATGGTCAGAACTTACAGGACTAATCAGCGGGTTTCAATTTTACAGGTCATTAATATGTATGGTGAGCTGATAATGGATGCAGTCCCAGACAAAGTAAGTTCCTTTTTTTTTTTTTTTTTTTTTGCTTTTAAACAGTATGTAATTGTCTGTATTCTTTAGATTAAATGGGTTGGATTATATCTTGACTCTGCATTTTAGACTTTGCCATATTTTTGATCATCATTTTTGCTTAACCTGGGTGCAGTTATACACCACCTTTTATCCCAGCACTTTGGGAGGTAGAGGCAGGAGGGTCAGAAGTTCAAAATCATGCTTGGGTTCATAGCAAACTTGAGGCCACTGTGGACTACATAAGACCTTGTTTCAGGAGAGGGAGGGTGGAAAGAGAGAGTGAGAAATTTTTGCTTAAGAAAAAAAATCAGTGTCCTTTCGGGTGGTGGTGGCTCATGCCTTAAATCTCAGCACTCGGGAGGCAGAGGCAGGTGATCTCTGTGAGTTCGAGGCCAGCCTGGTCTACAGAGTGAGTTCCAGGACAAAGTTATTGTGGTATTGCACAGAGAAACTCTGTAGAAAGAAAGAAAGAAAGAAAGAAAGAAAGAAAGAAAGAAAGAAAGAAAGAAAGAAAGAAAGAAAGAAAGAAAGAAAGAAAGAAAGAAAGAAAGAAAGAAAGAAAGAAAGAAAGAAAGAAAGAAAGAAAGAAAGAAAGAAAGAAAGAAAGAAAGAAATCAGTGTTCATATTTTCTTTCTTATTTGGTTGTGTGTGTTTATTTGCACCCAAATGGAATGGAGCTTCCTCCTCCTCCTCCTCCTCCTCCTCCTCCTCCTCCTCCTCCTCCTCCTCCTCCTCTTCTTCTTCTTCAAGATATCTTCAACAGGAGTTATAGATTTTAAATAAAACTTGGTCTTGGGGCTAGAGAGATGGTTAAGTGCACTTTTCTTTTCCAAGGAACTTGTGTTTAATTCCTAGCACCCACATAGTGGCTTACAACTGTCTACAGTTCCAGGTTCAGGAGTTCTGATGCCCTCTTCAGACTTCTGAGTACCAGAGGCAGAGGCAGAGGGATCTTGTCTGAGTCCCAGCATAGCCAGAGATATACAGACAAATTCTGCCCCCCAAAATAAATAAATAATATAAATAGTTCTTAATAAATTAATCTATTAAAAAAATCTAATAACAGCAGAATGGTTCTTTGTTTTGGATTTTTTTCTCTTAAATTCATGATTTTGTCATCTTCATAACAAGATCAGCTTAGAACTGAACCACTTGGCTCTTCCTCTTCTTATTGCCCCCCAGTTAAAACTGTTTGCATCTCTTACTAGCCAGCATCCTCTTGGATTTGCAGTCAGCTAGCACACTCCAGTCTCAGCATAGTCTTCTTTGTAGTTTTAGCCTTTTTTGTGGAAAATAAGCTTAGCCTGCCCACCACAGCCTCTGTTTCCTGTCATAACGCCACTTTTCCTGCCCTTGTACTGTGGGTCACTTCGTTGGGTTGGTGCTTGCCACATTTCTTGCAGAATGTCTGGTGGGTCTTAGGAACGTTCATCATGTTGGCAGGAATGATATTGGCACTTGTTTTGGATTTTTGTGACAGGATTTTGCTATTAAATCTTTGGCTGGTCTGGAATTCACTATTTTAGGTCAATTGGCATTGAACCTAAGGCTTTATCTGCTGCTGCTGAAATGCTGGGGTTATAGATGTACCCTGATGCACCCAATTCTTTTTTATTTCTTATTTTGAGACAGAGCTCACTATGTAGACCAGGCTTGCCTCAAACTCAGAGATCCACTTGCTTCTGCCTCCTATGCCTCTTAGCTTTTTTTTTTTTTTTAGACAGTTTTCACTGTGTGCCCCAGATTAGTGTTGGACTTGGGATCTTCCTGCTTCATCTTCTCCAGTGCTAGGAGTAAAGAGAAAGCCACTATGCCCAGGTTGCATTAAAAGAATTTGCTTTAGACTTAACCTGAAGGCATTTGAAAGCAGGTTGCTGTGACCTACTCTGGAGTTCCAGCTTTACTAGGTCTTAGGTGGGCCTAAGAATTTTGATTTTCACATTCCCAGGTGATGTGATTATTCTGGTCTGGTGACCACACCCTGAGATTCACAAGCACCCAGGGGGGTGGACAGTTCTATCCGAGAAAGAGAGTTAAAGTTAGCAGGGACTAGAGCTCCAGCTCAGTGATCGGGCTCTTCTGTGCTAGACACAGAGCCTGTGTTCAGTCTCCAGCACCAAGTGAAGGGCAACAACTATAATAAGTGCAAGCGTCCCCAAGTGAGCAGAAACCACTGTAAAACAGAGAGCTAAGCTTAGCACGGAAGACCTGGACCTGCTCTTTCATTTGGCCAAGGTAATCTTGTAGATAGAAATGATTGTGCACGCCTTTAATCCCAGCCCTTGGAGGCAGGAGCAGGTGGATCTCTGTGAGTGAGTTAGAGGCCAGCCTGGTCTACAGATCGAGTTCCAGGCTGTTACACAGAGAACCCTCTCTCGAAAAACCAAAAAGAAAGAGAAAGAAAGAAAGAAAGAAAGAAAGAAAGAAAGAAAGAAAGCCCTAAAAGAAAAAAAAGGAAAGGAAAAGAGAAGAGAAAGGAAAGGAAGGTGTTCATAGTTACTGGAGAGGAATTTCCAAGTCTTCACACTTCAGATTGGGTAATTTCATAATTCCCACGCTGGAGTTTAATCATTATTTCCTTTTGCTTGTTTATTTTTTTTTTTTTTTTGAACAGGGTCTCTCTGTGTAGCCCTGGCTATCCTGGAACTCACTCTATAGACCAGGCTGGCCTTGAACTCATTGAGATCTTTCTGCCTCTGCCTCCCGAGTGCTGGGATTTAACGGAATGCTAATAATAATGTTAATAAAAATTTGGAATAGATTCTTCTGTTTACTGTGTAATATATTTTCTTCCTCTTGACCTACCTTCCTTCTTCCTTCCTTCATCCTTCCTGCCTCCTTTCCTTCCTTATTTCTGTACTTTTGAGAGAGAATCTCATGTAACTTGGACTGACCTCAAACTCTGCTATAGCTAAGGATGGTTTTGAACTTCTGATCGTCCTGTCTCTACCTTCTAAATGTTAAGATTACAGGTGTGTGCTGCCATACCCAGTTTTTGTGGGCCTAGAGATCAAATTCAGGGTTGTGTGCCTCTGAGGCAAGGACTCTTCCAATTAAGCTAGGCCTTGATTTTTCTTCTCTTTTGTTTTTGAGACAGGGTCTCTATGTAGCCTTGCATGGCCTGTATGTCACTATGAAGATCAGGTTGGACTCCAACTCACAGAGATCCACCTACTGTACCTCCTGAGTGTAGGATTAAAGGCGTGCATCCATACCTGACCAAGCCTAGATGTTTAATAAAAACACTAGTCATAAAAAAAAAAAAAAAAAAAGAAAAGGCTGGGTATGGTGGCCCACACCTTTAATCCCAGCATTGAGGGAGAAGAGAAGGGGCAATGATGGGACAGAGGTAGGCGGATCTCTGAGTTCCAGGCCAGCCTGCTCTACAGAATGAGTTCCAAGAGAGCCAGAGCTACACAGAGAAATCCTATGTTCAAATTAAAAAAGAAAAAACTTTCATTTATCTTTTGTTTATTTTATGTTTTCAAATTCTTAAATTTCTATTTTCTCGTGAAGTTGAATCTGGGCGTGGCCTAATGTAACCTGGTTGATTGTGTTTGCTGTTCTAGGTCCATTTCTTCAACAGCTTTTTCCACAGACAGCTGGTAACCAAAGGCTATAATGGAGTTAAGAGATGGACTAAAAAGGTATTGTTTCCTTTATACTGAATTTGAAGTAGATGAGCGATTCTTGGGGGAGGATCAGAACTGGAATGACATTATGGTGTTAGTAGAACCCTCATGTGACTGTTTACTGTGTTTTATCTTCATGTTTGACGAATAAGACTCTTGAGTGTGGATCTGAATGTGCTGTAAGGAAGGAGCTGCAGTCTGGGTGTTCATGACTGCAGCATTACTGTTAGCCTGCTGGGCCGGCGTGGAGAAGACACTGCTGAGTGTTAGAATAAAAGGCTAAAATAGCTGACGTGCTGTCAGAACGTGTTTATTGGTGGTGGCACAAGGGTTGGAAGCCAGGGCCTCCCATATGCCAGGGAAGAACTCTTGTCCCTGAGCTACAACCCTAGCTGTGGTTTATGTAGTTCAGCTGATCTTCAGCGCGTCATCTTCCTGGTTCAGCCTCCCAGTGTTGGTTACAGGTTTTCTTCATGACGCCTGAGTGGAAACACTTTTGAAACCTCTTGAGTCGATTTTTGATATTTTGACAGTTACCGGTAAATTCAAACCCCAATAATAAATATAGAAATAGTTTTGTTTTTCGTTTGTCTTTTCAAAAGGCCTCAGACTCATGTAGCTCAGGCTATTCTGACGCTCAATCTGTAGCCAAAGCTGACCTCAAACTCCTGATGATTTTGCCTGGACCTCCTGAGTACTACTAGGCAGGCATGTGCCGGCATTCCTGGCTTACTTCTTACATTTTTGCCGACTGGGAGGATTGGAGTAATGAACGTGAGTCCTAGCTGAACTTGTAAGCCCATGCTGAGGTAGAAAGACCAGAAGTTTGAGGCTAGTCGGAGCTATGTGAAACTCTTTTTTTCTTGTTGTTATTTTAAAAAGAAGCCAGACAAGGTGACACGTGCCTTTAATTCTAGCACTCAGGAGATAGAGGCAGTTGGATTTCTGTGAATTCAGGGCCAAGTCTAGTTTAATAGTAAGTTCCACACCAGCCAGGGCTATACAATGAGATCGTGTCTCAAACCAACCAACAAACAAAACCAGGAATAACTCTTAAGTCAATGGAAATAAGATTTATTACTTTATTTAAACATTCCAAGATGGCCTGGAATTCCTGCGTAGCTGAGGGTGAACTGAATGCCCGGTTCTCTGCCTTAGCCTCTGCCTCAGACTGCTGCAATTCCCAGTGTGAGCACAGCATCTCCTTTATGTATGCCGGGGATCGAATCCAGGGCTTTGTGGATTGGAGGCAAATACTTTACCAAGTGAGCCATATCCCCAGACCTGGAAATAATTTTTATGACAAATACAGTGTCTGAAGTATACAAATCTAAGAGAGCTAGAATTCATATTCCAGTTTGGTGACTTAACTGGCTGTAATGTGAGCACACTTGCTTAACTATCCTGAAAGTCAAGCCCTCTGTAGAGGAGTTTACAGGTTTACTCTGTTGGGAGAATAAAGGAGATTATATTTAGCAAACCACTAAACACATTGTAAAATACACAGTAAAATGCTATATATATTGTAAAATGTAATGATATATATTGAAACTCACCAAATGTTCATTTCAATTTTTTGATGATCCAATCACTAGGTCTTTATTTTAAAGAAATCTGGAAAAAGAAAGATTTGTAAAAAGATGCTTATGAGATTGCTAATTTTAGTAAAATTAAATTCTCAAATAAATTGATACCTCAGCTTCATGGAATTTTAAGTCATTGGTAAACCTTATGGATTTGTGTCACTATTTCTTATAGTAAATATGTATATATGGTGTGTGTGTGTATATATATATGTATATACACATATGTTTTCAAGATGGAGTTTCTCTGTGTATCCCTAACTGTCCTGCCTGTTTCTGCCTCCCAAGTGCTGAGATTAAAGGCGTTCGCCACTGCTGCCACCGGGCAGTAAACATATTTTAAACTGACAAAATTCTAACAAAGCCAGAAATTAAAGGAATGCTATTAATTCTTAAATGTTTTCTTTTTATTTTACTATGATTATTTTTAGTGGAGATGGAGAACTGGCTGAGTGGTCCAGAGCCCTGGCTGCTCTTGCAGAGGACCTAGGTTTGGTTCCTATTGTCTGGCACCTTCTCTTGCCTCTGTGAGCACCAGGCACAGATGTAGTACACTTTAGCAGGCAAAACACTCAACACATAGAAGTTTTTTTTGTGTGTGGATAATTCATGTCACAGGACATGTTTTTTTGTGAGACATAAAACGCTTGACTCCTAAACACTACCGTCTTTAGGGTCATTATATAGTCATGATTGCTTAGAGACCATGGGCCATGGTCATAGGAAATAGTTGCAAAAAATAATCATTACTTTGTTAAGTGAAAATAAATTATTCTATTCTCGGAATTCTCAAACTAGGATAACTAAAAAAATATTTCAGTCATATGCTAAATGCTAAGAAATTAACAAAGCAGTATGAAAATGAATGTTTGAAAATAAATTGCCCTTAATCCCCAAACTCTCAGCACTCAGAATGAGAGGCATGTGGGTCGCTGAGAACTGGAGGATAGCCTTGTCTGTCTACATCGTACCTTCTGACCCTCTCAACACCTACACTCACATGCTAATACACATGCATATGCTTGTATACACACATTCAGACATACTAATAAAAATAAATCTCTTTAAAAAATACATCGCTAGTGGCAGATGTCTCTCATTTAGTAAACCTCATAGACAATAAGTAAGCTCACAAACTCAATACATTCAGTAGAACTGTATAGGTATATAATTAATGGATCAGTATACTCCGTCAAAAGAGAGTATGTGGGCCGGTGAGACGGCTCCTGACAACCTGGGGTCAGTCCCTGGGACCCACGTTGTGGACGGAGAGAACTCACCCTTGAAATGGTTCTCTGATTACACGTGACCTGTAACGTGCATTGTCCACACACAATATATATAAATATTAAGATGGGGGGAGAAGCCAGGCATGGTAGAGCACATCTTAAATCCAGCACTGAGGAGGAAGAGGCAGGCAGAGTTTGAGGCCAGTCTGGTCTGTGTAGTGAGTTCCAGGATAGAGCTACACAGAGAGACCCTGTCTCAAAAATCAAAACAAAACAAAAAATAAAATACAAAAATTAAAATGGGGGGGGGGGCGAAGGTTATTTTTAAAGACCAGACCTAGCTGTGGGGTTTCTGGCTCCCCTTTATTCCCCATGTAGATATACAGTATGTATGTACCCAAGCTGGCCATAAACTTGCCATCCAAACCAGCTTCATTTATTTATTTTTCTACCCAAGAGATATTTGTAAGAACAGATCATATACTTGGCCACTAGAAAGTTGTAGAGACATTCTTCTCTTATTGTGAATCAAATTGAAAATAAGGGCCGGGAAGATGGCCCAGCAGGCAAAGGTCCCTGCCATCAACCCTATCTGAATTTGGTCCCTAGGACCTCCACATGGCACTCCAGAATAAAATATCATGCAAAAACTTTGTCCCTGGAACTAGCTTTGTAGACCAGGCTGGCCTTGAACTCAGAGATTCACCTGCCTCTGCCGCCTCCCGAGTGCTGGAATTGAAGGTGTGCGCCACCACTGCTCCAGTGCAAAAACACTTTTTAAGAGAAAAAATTTAAAAACTTATATTAAAAAACAAAGAAAAATAAAAATAAAAGGTGGCAGCAGGGAGTAGCGTAGTGATAAGATGCTCACAGTTCATGCAGGAGGGGAGGACCACGCGTGGCTTCAGACTCAGTAGAGACTCTCAAACAGTAAGACAGAAAACCAGTCGAGGAAAGGAGTGATGCCACTGCACATGGAAGGCAGGGAACACCTTTGCAGACCAGGGTCTCCCCTGTAGGATCAGAACTAGTCAGCAGGCGCAGCAGGCACCTTGACCTGCACCATCGTGATGGCCCCAAACTTTTACTTAGAGCTAGGAATTTGTAGTTACATAGGCAGGTCTTAAATGTGTATTATTCTACTCTAGGCACGTGCCACTGTGCCCAACTTTGTGTTTGTTTTGTAGATAGGAGCTCTCCCACTAGCAGAGGGTGACTTTGCACAGTCTTACTATCATCTCCCAACTCTGGGATTACGTGATGTGCTGATGCTCCATTACCTCACTTTTTATAGGTGTTTATGGACTGCCTACTACTTTGTTATCCTTTGGAATTTTTAATTACATCAATTTATTGTGTGCGTGTCTGGGTACCCACATGGCATGGCTCATGTATGGAGGCCAGAGGACAGCTTTTTTTTTTGAAAGTTTATCTATTTATTTATTTTTATTATTATTGATTTTATTGCTCCCCTCCTTTCCTCTCCCCTCCCCTTAAGCCCTCTCCCATGGTCCCCATGCTCCCAATTTACTCAGGAGATCTTGTCTTTTTCTACTTCCCGTGTAGATTAGATAGTTCTCTTTCTACAGTGTTGGTTCTGGATTGAACTCTGATCATCAGCTGTGGGCAGGGGCCTTTACCATCTCCATCCATGGGAAGTTTGAGTGGAATAGCAATTTTTATAGATTATAAAAGAAGTGTTTTAAGAAGTGTTTGTCAGAGCCCCTGAAACTGAAGTTACAGACAATTGTGAGCTGCCATATGGGTACTGGGAATTGAACCTGGGTCCTCTGGAAGAGCAGTAGGTACTTGTAACCACTGAGCCATCTCCAGCTCAAGTTTTGTCCTTTTTAACATTGGAGCCGAGACTGCAAGGTTCAAGTGTGCTGAAACACATTAGCTTATGTATTCCTGTTCTCTTATTCTTTAGAACTGCATAAGGTAGGTACTATTGTTTCCTACATGTAACACTCTTAAGAAATCGGCATAAAAGAGCAAGTAAAACAGATAAAGCAAAAGGAAAAGAACCAATCTTTGAATTTAAACATATTTGCTTTTTTAAACTTTGTTGTCTTTAGTACTATTTAATACTAGCCCTAGTGTGCGCTCGGCTCCCTAGCAGTGCTCTAAAACAAAAGCCAGCACCCATGCACAGGTGGAAGAAGAGAGCCAGCTGCACACAGTTGTCCTCTGACACGCATTATGCATGTGCGTCCTCATAGTAATAATAAATACGTTGTCATAGCAGACAGTTGACCAAACTAGTTTTTGTACATTAAGTGTAAAATAATATTTTACTATTTGTCTTACTTTTGAGCATTTTAATTTAGTAATTACAAACATGGCCTTTAAGATGAGACACTGTTCACATTCTGCTTTACCACTTCCCCATTTTATGATTGTTAGCAGGTCAAAGGTAGTAGATGGATGATGGTGTTGGCTCTGTGGTGATGGCTCTTTCTCTTCACCAGGTGGATTTGTTTAAAAAGAGCCTTCTGCTGATTCCTATCCACCTGGAAGTCCACTGGTCTCTCATTACTGTGACGCTCTCCAATCGAATTATTTCATTTTATGATTCCCAAGGCATTCATTTTAAATTTTGTGTAGAGGTAAGTTACTATTCTGCCTATTTTAATTTTTAATCTGTGCTTGACCATGACAACTCATAGCTCTAGACAGAACAGCTGATGTCAGCCGCTGCTTCGCAGTGTGAGAGGACAGTTGGCAGGGCAGGTGACCGAGCTGTCAGATCTGAGGCCCCCTTTGAAGAGGCGTGCCCTAGTTGGATTTAGCATTTTATTTATTATTTATTTTGTTTTTCCATACACGGTTTCTATGTCTAGTCTTGGCTGTCCTGGAACTCATTCTGTAGACCAAATTGCCTGTGAACTCGGAGATCTGCCTGCCTGTCTCCTGAGTGCTGGGATTAAAGGTGTGAGCCACCACCACCTGGCTGGATGCAGCATTTTTAAAAAAAATTTATGTGCATTGGTGTTTTGCTTGCATGAGGTTGTCGGGTACCCTGGAACTGGAGTTACAGACAGCCCAGCTATCAGCCTCCTAAGTCCTGAGATTATAAGTATACAGTAACATGCTTGGTGTTGAGAGGAGGTCTAATATAGCTGAGGCTGGCCTTCAACTTGCTATGTAGCCAAGGATATCTTTGAACTCCTGGTTCTGCTCTTAGTACTCAAGTGCCAAGATGTTGGGTGTGTGTCCCCACATCTGGTTCACACGGTGCTGGGAAAGGAATTGAGCGCTGTGCACGCTGGACAAGCTCTTCACTCAACTACAGACCCAGCCCACTAACGGACGTGTGAAAGGCGTGATGGTCTAACACTTCTTGTGCACAGTGAAGGCAGACTCCTCGGGTAGATGTCAAAGCATGTTATCAAAGTTTTAAAATACAATGTTACTTATATCAGCTGAGGAATATAGATTGATTGGAACATCCACTCTAAAGTATCCACGAATAATCGTGTGTGTGTATGTGTGTAGAATTTAGTATATGGTAAAATTGAGAAAAGACAAATTGTTGACCTGGCAAAATTTGCTATTTGGAAAAATACAGAGGATTGCATTAATACTATAGATAGAAAACATGCACATGCTGGGCACGGTGGTCCATGTCTTTAATCCTTGGGTTTGGGAGGCAGATAAGTAGATTTGTTAAGTTCCAGCTTAGTTAGGGCCACATAGTGAGACCCTATCTCAAAAGCAAAAGTAAAAAAAAAAAAATGAAATCTTGGATAAAATATAGAAAATGTTTTATTCATTCATGGAGTAGGGAAGGCCTTCTTACACAAAAGAAGAAAACACCAAGGAACCGCTTGATAAATTTAATTGTATTACAAAATCTGTGTCAGATTTGGAGTTATAGCTCAGTGATGAGTCCAGGCTCACCATACACATGGCCCATGGTTCAGTCCTCAGAACCACGAAGTGAGTGAGTAAAACTAGAAGTTAAGAAGTTAGCAGACATGTGGTAGACCTGGAGAAAATGGTTAACTGCATCTCTACAAGTGAGTTAAGGGTTGGGAAAAGGCCTGAGAAATAGACAAGAGAGCCGGAATGTTCTTTGTTTAACTTTAGCTATTAATGCTTTCTGCCATGTTTTTCTTGTCTTTAGATATAAGACAAGGTTTCAAATGTAGCAAATTGACCTCATAAAGTGAGGGTCAAGTCTTGAGTGCCTACTTCAGTCCAGATGTGACTGGGAGCCTGAAGGACAGTTCCAGCTGGAAACTAACAAGTGCCATGCGGTTGTACAGACTGCAGCTGCTCTTCCTTCCTTTCTGAGTGGTCAGCTTCCATATTTTCACCAGCTAATGGAACAACATGTGTGTTGTGCTTTCTTTTTAACCAGAATATAAGAAAGTATTTGCTGACTGAAGCCAGAGAAAAAAACAGACCTGAATTTCTTCAGGGTTGGCAGACTGCTGTTACAAAGGTAAGTTTGACACAGCTGGGACTCTAGTGTGTGTGAGGGGGACAGTGGCTCAAGGACGGTGCCTGCTGGGAGACCTGAAGAGTCCAGGCCAATCAGAGTAAAATCTTAGTACTTAATCATCCTGAGGCTCAGTTTCCCAGTACTTGCTGAGAATCATAAATCATGTCATTCTTGATGTAGTTAGTAACCGCGTGGTGTTTTAATTGGTGGAGGCCCTGAGGCAGACACAGCCCTCCAGCTGTTTCCTTATAATGGTCTCATTTGTTCCTTACAACCTGTGTGGCAAGCAGTTCTTTAGGGTTAAGAGGCGTCTTTATTACATACACAAGAAAACTGGATATTGGAACTATTGTTAGAGGCAGGTCCTTGAACTCAGGTCTGTCTAGGTTATTGGCCCAGTTTTTTTTTAATATTTTTATGGTTTAAACTTTATTTTATGTGCATTGGTGTGAATTTGTCAGATTCCCCTGCAACTGGACCTTCAGACAGTTGTGAGCTGCCATGTGGGTGCTGGGAATTGAACCCGGGTCCTCTGGAAGAGCAGTCAGTGCTCTTAACCACTGAGCCATATCTCCAGCCCCATTTGGCCCAGTTTTATAGGCAGAGTTTTGACAAATGTTGAACCTAAGCCCAAAAGATCAAGATTAGTTCATCTTTTAACTGAACCAAATACTAGTCTTTACATTTTTATTTTTTGTTCCTAATAACCTACATACTAGTTCATATAAGAAATGAACTTGTAGAATTTTAGTTTTTAAAAATTGTCTGATTTACTGATTTATTCATCTAGCTCGTCCAGGTATGCTACATCCTTCCAGAGTCTTCCATATTCCTGTCTTAGATGCAGTAAACAGTTTTTTGGAAGCATATTCTTTGCCTTTATGAGTTACTTCAAAGAGTACAGCAGAATTGTATAATCTGAGGTAAAAAGTTAAGGCTATAAAGAGGAACTTTATTAGGTAATTGTTTTTTCATTGTTGTGATGAAATCCTTGACAAAGAGGGGGGTCTAACTGTGGCTCCGTGGAGAGTATAGTCTGTCACGGCAGGGGACGTCTGGTTGCATTGCATCACAGCCAGAGGAAGCACAGAGGATGAGCACTGGGCACTAGCGTATGCTCTGATCCTCGGGGCCACTTTATTCATTGTCATTGAATTGATAGCACAACTAATAGCTAGGTCTTTAAAGTGGTTTTTAAATTTGTTTTTCTCATTTCCCACATTTAAATTGTGGTTGCCACTTGAAAGGTCTTTTCATGTGGCCTCTCTTATAGGTATTTGAATAGTAGAGGTATAGATTAGTTATTTGGGAGTAGTGTTTCCATTTACCCACGGGAGCAGTTTTCTGGTGTGTTTTAATGATCATCTTCTTTTTCTCTTCAGTGTATTCCACAACAGAAGAATGACAGTGACTGTGGAGTCTTTGTGCTCCAGGTAAATACTACTTTACAGTGTGCCAACTGCTTGTTTTGTCTTGAGAGAAGAAACGGTGGTCCTGCTGTTTAGTGTTAGGGAAGACAACACTCTCCCTTTGTTGCTGTATTGCGGATGTAACCTTTAGGAAGAACTGACTCGCAGGGGATCTTAGGAAGCTGTGTCAGAGGAGGACATGTATTTATGGGAGAATAAAATGACACGTGAACGCAGAGATTTACATAGACCTTGGGAGGTAGCCCCACTGTACACCTCACACCTCATGAATTTTGGGGGTTTATAAGGAAACTCGAGTTACTTTCCCTGTGAGGTCCAAGTGCATACAGGCTCAGCAAACTGTACTTGGGTAGAGTGGAAGGATGCCTAGCTGTCCGCTTGCTTGGAAAGCTGATTCTCATTGGAAGTCAGTGCTCTAAAATACCATGATTCTCAAGCTGGACTTAGTGGCATAAGCCTTTAATTCCAGCACTTGGAAGCAGATCTCTGAGTTCAAGACCAGCCTGGTCTACAAACAGTCCCATAAGAGCCAGGACTGTTACACAGAAAAACCCTGTCTTTAGAAACAACAAACAAACAAAAACAGTATGATTTCACAAGACCCATGTTACTCTGCAGCTTCAGACCTAACTTTAGGGGTGTGTGTGTGTGTGTGTACAGGGCAGTGGGTGGGAGCACTGTACACGTGCCATCTAGGTGTCTCCGGGATAGAGCACTTTTTTTTTTCTTTTGCAGTACTGCAAGTGCCTCGCCCTAGAGCAGCCTTTCCAGTTTTCTCAAGAAGACATGCCTCGGGTACGGAAGAGGATCTATAAGGAGCTGTGTGAGTGTCGGCTCCTGGACTGAGACTCAGCAGGGACTCTGAAAGACTGGCCATGTTGGAGCAAATGGTTTGTTACTTGAATCTCCAAACACTTACTGAATTTTTACAGATATTTCAGATTGGTGGTATTGGGCCACTATTGTTACCTCAAATTATTTTTGCCCTTCTTCATTTCTCCTGCTATCATGTACTTTTTTAAATGTTCGGTTTAGTTTCATTTTAACTTTATGGATTCCATACATCCCTCCCATATTTAATATTTATTATCCAAACGCATGCGTATAGACAGAGCATGCAGTAAAGAGTATTAAAAAAAAGCCTAGTAGATTTGGTGCAGCTTTTGAAACATAGTTAGATGTGAACTGAATACAGGTTTAAAATTTAACCCCAGAACCTAAAAATGCAAGATGTTTTTGATACAGTGTAGCTCAGAATAGATGTTTCCTATGGCATAAAGGGGTAGCTAGGAGTGGTTGTGAAAAAGCCAGTCATGTTTTACTTAAATGAGCGGCACCTTTTGCTGATGTCCCTCAGATGAGTCTCTGAGCATGAGATGCCTTCCTTCCGAGGGGAGACGGGACTGTTCTGCTTAGGGACACAGTGCTAGCAAGCACAGTGCTGATTTGAGAAAAGAGTTAAGGTATGAGAGAAAAAAAGAAAAAAAAAAGCAGCATCCTTGGGGGCCAGTTACCTTAAAGAAAGGTTTCTTTTGTTTTGTTGTTTTGAGACAAGGTCTCACTATGTAGCCCAAGCTGTACTAGAACTCACAGTAGTTAGGCTGGTCTGGAACTCAGGCCAATCATGTCTGTTCCCCAGGGCTGGTAATACAGGTGCATACTAATATACCCTACAGTAAGATTTCCATTTTGGTCTTAAGAATTATAATGGATTAAATCTCATAAAGGTTTCTTGGGATGCTAAACTTTTTTCTGGGTTTGACTTGTGAAAAAAAAAACTTGGCATCCACCAAATCAATGGTTAAATGAAAATTAGGCTTTTCATAAAAGTAATTTGCTAGTTATCACCTCTCTCTGTTGCCTCCCATGTTCTCCAAGGTATTACAGATTTACCAACAATGTTTCTGCTTTAAGATGTCTGAGATACAAACATTCAGAGTAGAAGACTGGCGAGGTCTTACACATAGTGGGAGAAGAAGGGAGGCAACACCGAGGTCTCTAGGAGAGCACGTGAGGAATGTTTTTTAGTCTTTTCTGGTGGCTCAGCATCTTGAAGGGCTCTATTGGCTTCTGTAAGAATAATCTGAATCCCGTACTCAAAAACTGCCTGTTTATTTAACTCCATCCTCTAGGGACAGGCTGTTCTGTTAGGAGGAAAGTGGTGATTTTGCATCTTTAGGGTGGCCCTTTGTGACATGTTTTAAAGGAAAATAAGTAAGATGCATAGTAAGCCTAACTAGTTATTTTTTCTGAATTGAAGGAGGCAAGAGTAATGAACCAAGTAAATGACAGAAGAAAACTGACAGTTTTCTTCTTGTTGTTTGAAAAACAAAAAAGGTAAAATGTCTGAGCAGGGCTTACTGCCGCAGTAAGGGTTGACCCTCTGTAGCGGTATGGACCCTGGGCAGTAGCCTTAGCTCACTCCTCTCCTTAATCACCTAGCCTCAAAAGGCCTAAGCATAAAGCCAGGTCAGCATTTCTTGTGCTTCAGGTCATTAAAAGAGAGTAGAGGCACTTTATGTTGTCACAGGTAGAGGTTGTGTCACCACTGGGGATGATGAAAAGTTAGAGGAAGTAAACCTCTTCTGTTCTTATGGTTCTGGGGACTGTGTGTTAGGCAAGTGCTCTACCACTGAGCCTCCTTTGTGCTTTTTGAATTTCGAGACAGGGTGTCATGAAGTTGTCTGCGTTGGTCTTGAATTTACTCTGTGGCTAAGCCTGGCTTTGTTTATACTCCTGACACCCAAGGAGCTGGAATTACAGTCAGCCATGTCAGGCCAGACTGCCTAAAGATCTCTTATGGAAGGGGTTTGGGGAGCAGGGTCTCAAGTGTAAGGCTAGCCTCAAACTCTTTATGTAGCCGAAGATGACTTTGAATTCCCAGTCCTCTCCCAGATGCTAGGATTATATAGGTCTGTGTCACCAAGCTAAAGATCTGGTCTTAAGATTTTCAGACATAATCACACCAGCATGAACTTCTTTAAAATTTATAGCATGGGTTTTGTTGCTGTGCCTATACTGTTTCAGCCAGCGATGAGATAATTGACTCAAAATGTCTCCAACTTTTAAAAATCTTGTGAGGAATTATCTCACTTCCCCAGTAACAGACCTTTCATAGAGAAGTTACAGTTGTGTTCGAGAATCTTGTCGAAATAGGGTCTTTGTTTACCCCAGGCTGGCCTCAACCTTGCAGTCCTTCTGCCTCAGCCTCCCTGATGTTTGGGTTACATGGGTGCACTAGTAGTTTCGATGCCTGGGAGAACCTTAATGTCCAGAGCCTGAGTTGCCACTTCTCCAGTCTGAGAAATGGTCACGTCGGCACGGAAGCATGCAGGAATGAACAGAGACTCAGTTGTCCAGGTCTAAGTAGCTACTCTTTTCCTTCTAACAAGATCAGCATCTTCAGATGGACTGTTGAGCTTGCTTTAGCCTCAATGCTGGATGTTCTGAGTATGTTCTAAGTCTGTTTCTGTCATTAGTGAGCCTTGGTTTTAAAATACATAGTTGCTCTTTCTCCTCTTGTGATTACATGTAAACTTCTGTTTAGCTTTCAAGTCCTAGATTGCAGAATTTTTTGTCTTGATGTTTACAGCAATGCTTTGCTGTCACTGGCTTGGCGCTGAACTGTTGATGCCCATAAAGTAGGCAGACTTTATGTCACTGGGATGAATGTAAACCCTGCACAAACTTAAAGCTATTCATATATGACGAGCCTTCAATAAGCTGCCCAGTCCTCCTGGCAAACTTATCTGGCTGTATTTGCTTCTCTCCAGTGTTCTTTCCTTTTGTTACATTTCTAGTAATGAATATAGATTTAATGCATCTTTTAGTTTTCTTAGGCAATCATGAGAATTAACTTTCAGTTCGCTGCTCAAGGAAGAGAAAAGCAGTTGCTGCCAATAATTTCACAGTGCGTTTTGGCTTTGCACTGTATTCTGTGTTTACTATTGAATATGAATATCATGGTTATCTTGAATTTATGGTTGGAGTACAACAGTAACAGACCTAACTGGGGACACAGCCAGTACTTGCCTAATGTAAGTTGTCCCTTTTCTCTGCCATGTGGTTCACTGTTTCCGTCCCCGCAATAGAAGCAATGGGGGTCTGAGTGGGTCACGGTGAGAAACAGTGAGTTAATACTGTACATTAAATACACTGATTATCTGCTCTGCTTCATATGTTAAGAGACCAGGTTAATCTTATACAGCACAACTTCTGCTGTGTGCTAGGCTCTGCCTCCTGGCTGGTAGATAACCTAAGATCTGGGGAATAGCACCCAAGAAGTGCTATTATATTTGGGGTTACAAAAGCAGACCTAGACAAGTTGTTCGCTTGAAAGATTATGATCATGTAAAATTACAGTCAGTACTCAACCCTTCTAGCAAAATATTTTTTTGAAAAATAAACTAAATGCCTTTATAAACATGTGTTCTTGTGTTGAGTAACATGTATTGTTAGGTGGCTACTATCTCGTAGTGTCTTCAATGGTAAGGCTCTGAAGAACAGTGGCATTGGAAGCCTCCGTACTCTGCTGAGCTGTGCAGTGCAGCAGGAGCTCTTCCTGTATGTAGTATGTAGTATCTCATACTACAGCTAATGGCCAACGTGCGGCTACTGAGCACAGACAAAGTGTGCTTGGTGTCACTGAAAACTCAGGCTTCAAATTGTCTTTTTTTCTTTTTTTTTTTTTTTGAGATAAGGTTTCTCTGTTTAACAGTCTTGGCTGTTCTAGAACCTGCTCTGTAGACCAGGCTGGCCTCGAAGTCACAGAGATCTGCCTGCCTCTAGCATATGCTACCACTACCCGTATTATTTTATTGCAATGTGTGGTGGCATACACCTTTAATCCCAGCATTTAGGAGGCAGAAGCCGGAGGATCTCTGAGTTCAAGGCCAACTGTGTCTACAGGGTGAGTTCCAGGACAGCCAGGGATACCTAGAGCACGGTGTCTCAAAAGAGCAAAGAATTACAACATTGATTTATTTTGGTTTTTCGATACAAGGTTTCTCTGTATAGCTGTGGCTGACCTGGAACTCAATTTCTAGACCCATCTACCTCTGCCTCCCACTAATCCCTAGAATAAAAAGAAAAGAAATTTATGCCCTGACAATGCTGAAGCACGCAGGGGCAGCCCGTATATGGCGGTTCTGTTGAACTTGTCCATATTGAGTTTCATGGTCTAAGTTGATGAGGACAAGACCAGGTCCTCTTCCTCAAGAGGGCACCGTATTTCATTACAGATGGTTGTGAGCCATCATGTGGAATTGAACTCAGGACCTTTGGAAGAGCAGGCAGTATTTTTTTAAAAATATTTATTTATTATGTATACAATATTCTGTCTGTATGCATGAAGGCCAGAAGAGGGTGCCAGACCTCTTTACAGATGGTTGTGAGCCACCATGTGGTTGCTGGGAATTGAACTCAGGACCTTTGGAAGAGCAGGCAATGCTCTTAACCCTAATCCCTAATGCTCTTAATCTCTAATCCCTAGAGCTGGGACTAAAGATGTGCACGGCCCGTCTGGCTAAGAGTCATTACTGTTTACTTAGGAGTGTTCTGCCTGCATGTAAGTGTACCATGATGCATGCGTTCATACTCATGGAGGGCATTGGAGCCTATGGAACTAGGACTGCAATTAGTTGTGAGCCACGACATGAGTGCTGGGAAGTGAACCCAGGTCCTCTGGCAGACAGCAAGTGCCCTCGAGCCATTGCTCCAGCCCCAATTTTATTATTTTTAAGTAGCCATTTAAGTAGCCACATGTGGTGTCTAACCACCATATCAGGTAACAGAACTCTAAACCAAGTCTCAAGTTTTCTACCTCAGCTTATAGTACACAGGAAGCTAATGAATGACTCAGGTCCCAGGACGGCTGCTCTCATTCTCCATTCACACATCCGGCCTTCCTGTCTCTGTGGGCTTTCTAGTTTTGTTGTTGTTGTCTGGGATAGAGATGGGCGGTGCCTTTTGAGTTCCATCCTTAGCTAGTCTTTTCCCCTCAGTCTCCCAAGTGTTAGGATTATAGGCATGTGTCACCACACCAAGTTTAGCACACATCTCTGAGAGCTCACTTTCTTTGATTAAAATGGGGTATAGTTCAGATATTATGCCTGAAAAGAGAAAGTAGAGTGTGGTATTTGGAAGAAAATAGCCCTCTCCACCCCATAGGGAGCAGCACTGTTAGGAGGTGTGACCTCATTGGAGGAAGAGTGTCACTGTCGGGCAGGCTTTGAGGTCTCTTGTGTTCAAGCTATGCCCATTGCGGAACAGTCTCCTGCTGCCTATGGATCAAGATACAGAACTCTCGGTTCCTTCTCCAGCACCATGTCTGCCTGGATACCACCATGTCCTGCTATAATGACAATGGACTAAACCCCTGAAACTGTAAACTAGACCCAATTAAATGTTTTTCTTTCTAAGAGCTGCTGTGGTCATGGTGTCTCTTCACAGCAATAGAAACCCTCAGACAAAGGAGTGTATGAAAAGAGACCGTCGGAATTAGCATCCTCAAGCCCAAGAATTCTCCTTAATTCAGCCTTGTTTCTTTCCTGTCCATTATCTGGACAACTAGCCTCTCTGCACTGCCCCTTCAGTAGTGGTTGGTCAGTGCATCCTGTGTTTCACAGGGTGCCCACCTTTCCCCTTCATGCACTGCCATAGCAGTTACAAGTATCGCTCTGAAGTGGACATACCAATTCTGTACATTATTTAGACTCTGTTCCAGGACACAGGGACCCCAAAACATGTCTTTTTAGGCAAGGAAGGTTCTTTATAGGCAAGGAAGTATACACAGAATAAGTTGGTCTAAATTTATTGAAACTTGTTACAGAAGATAAAATCCCCACGGTTTTGGGTCATAAGACTGTAAAAATCTAAGTTATATTTTACTACAAAAGAATATAAGATAAACAGTTCAAACTACAATATAAAAGCTTTATTTTAAAACTCAAGTATCTCATTGTTTGCTTCCTAAGTTGTTCCATTATAGTTGTTACAGCTCCAAGAAAACCATTTTTAATGCAGCCTCAAAGGTGTTCTGCACAAACCTTGAAAAACTAGTAAGAAAAAAATAACAGATGAAAGATTTCCCTTTAATCATGAAAAATTATTCATATGCAATATTAGAAAGAAAATGCAAAATTTTCTAGACTCCCTTTCTAAAGACCTCCAGCTTACTATGAATGCATGGACCACGGCAGGCACGATTTGAAAGAAAAAGTTCTGGCCGGGCTGTGGTGGCGCACGCCTTTAATCCCAGCACTCGGGAGGCAGAGGCAGGTGAATCCCTGTGTGTTCCAGGCCAGCCTGGTCTATAAGAGCTAGTTCCAGGAAAGCTAGGACTGTTACACAGGAAAACCCTGTCTCAAAATCTCAAAACCAAACAAAAAACCAGACAGTTCCTGGAAGAGGCTTTTTGTTCTTAAACACTCACAGTTCGCAAACTCTTGATTTAGGCAGTTGTGAGGACTAAACCTTAGGACCACTCACATGAGTACTTAACCACCGTGCCTTGTATCTCCCCCTGCCCATTTTCTGTTTCTATTTTGAGGCAGACTCAAAAGGTTCCCAGGCTGGCCTTGAACTTGTGATTTTCTTGCTTCAGCCTTTCAAATAGCCAAGATTATAGGCCTGGCTGAAGCCCCTTTTTAAAGCCCGATTAACTCGAAGGTCATTTATAAAGCAGGAGGAAATAACCTAAGGCCCCAAGAGCAGTTTCCATGTCAAGGTGGTGTCTGAACTGTCATCCCATTGCCTACTGACAATGTCTCCCCCTTCCCCCACTCCTTAGGACAGCAGAGGCTCTCTGCACAGCAGTGTCCTTGGGGTTTGGGGGTTTGTTTGTTTTAGGGGGTTGTTTCTTGTTTTAAACTGTCAGTGAAACATTTGTAAATTTTGCGGAATGTGTTTAGTGAACACTTCATACAAAGTCCTGACATACAAAGCACAGAAGCAGACAGACAACTTAAGGCTGCCTTTTGTGCCAACTATATTTTCAATATAAAAAGCAAATCCAGCCAGGCGGTGGTGGCGCACGCCTTTAATCCCAGCACTCAGGAGGCAGAGGCAGGCGGATCTCTGAGTTCGAGTCCAGCCTGGTCTACAAAGGGAGTTCCAGGACAGCAGAGAAACCCTGTCTCGAAAAACCAAAAGAAAAAAAAGCAAATCCAGTTGACAAACACCTGTTCCAATTTAGAGCAAAGCTACAGACTATAGCAAAACCTCAGCAATACACATGCAAACTTAAAATCATTTCACTTTCCATGAAGATTACCAACCTACTTGTAAAGTCAAATCTGACATTTTCCAGTCTCCCTAAAGGACATATGGTATCCGGCTGACAGTTTAATTGGCACAGATTGAGTCTGTTGCCCAGGATTACGGGTTTGACCTAGTAACAGAAAAATCAACCTAATAAGACTAGAATTAAAGGCATTCTTTTGGATTCTGTCTTTAATAGTTGTGAGGAAAACCAGAAGTGGCTTCCAGTGCAACAGAGATACTGCTCAGACCTTGGGTAATGTTCATCAACAGAGTGAGCTGTGTACTTGGGGCTCTCACCACTCACTGTTTTTGTGCCAGCTTGCCATAGCCGCCTCTCCCAGCATCGTAGTCCTCCCGATACTCATCTCGAACCTTAATTGAAAAAAAAAAAAAAAAAAAAAAGCACCGTGGGATGTTTGTTAATCCTACAGTCATGCCAGGCATAGTTAAGCCTTTTCGGGTGTCCACGAACAAACAAGGCATAAACATTAATACTCACTTGAGTGTATTTTGCTTTTGTTGTAGGCACTGTGCCAGGGGGAGGGCCTCTAGCATGAGTTGAGTTCAGTAACACTTAAATGTACAGAATATCTCAAAGTCTAAAATTTCCTTATCATTGGTCCTGGTGTGCACTATCTGTGATTTCAACATTCAGGAAGCAGAGGCAAGAGCATCTCAAGTTTGATACCAGATGTCTTAGGAAAACTCCCCAAATCCCATCAAAACTCAAAAGCAAAAGCTCATACAAGGAATAACCACAAACTGACAACTGGAATCCCAGGCAGGTTAGCTATGCCCTTGTAGCATACCTGACCCCCAGACCGTCCACGTCCATACTGCCTGCCCTCCTTAAAGCCTGCATCCCAGTCTGTGCGTATGATCCGGTCATCCAGACGGGTTCCGTTTATGTACCGCATAGCATTCTCCGCATCTGCTCTCGAGTAGTATCTTACATAAGCATTAAGGGACACCAACAGCACTTAGGAGCACAGAAAGGACAGGTAAACGACATTTTGTCCAGACTATGTCAGTCATGATTTCCTATATATCTGCTAATAATTATTTGGTTCATGTTTTGATTTGCAAATAGAAAAATATGGTCAATGTAATTTTGGACTACAAACTTCTTATGCAAGAACAATGAACATAGTTGAACATAGTGGTTCATGTTCATAATCCTAGCACTCAGGAGACTGAAGTAGGGGGATTGCTGTGAGTTTGAGGCCAGCCTGGACTTCATGCCAAGATTCTGTCTCAAAACAAAAACAATGGGGCTGGAGAGATGGCTCAGAGGTTAAGAGCATTGCCTGCTCTTCCAAAGGTCCTGAGTTCAATTCCCAGCAACCACATGGTGGCTCACAACCATCTGTAATGGGGTCTAGTGCCCTCTTCTGGCCTGTAGGCGTACTCACAGACAGAATATTGTATACATAATAAATAAATATTTAAAAAAAAAACAATGGCATGGGGGAGTGGGGATGGCTGGAGAGATGGCTCAATAGTTAAAAGCACTGACTGCTCTTCCAGAGCTCCTGAGTTCAATTCCTAGAACCTATATGTTGGTTCCCAGATCTGACACGCCTTATGACCTCAGAGGGTATCAAATGTGCACGCAGTACAGACATACATGCAGGCAAAGCACTCCCATATAAAAATATAAAATGAATAAATATAATAAAAAATTTAAGAATCACTAACACCAAAAAGGAAAGTCATGCATAAACACAGACATGCTTATATATAAATAAAAAAAATCCCAATTACCGACTTAAGCAATTATAATTGACACTGGACTTGCAACATGTGGTGAAATCCCAGCACTGACACCCAGACAATGCCCAGCAAACAGCAGGCATCTAATGACTTTTGTTCCATGAACGCTTGACAGAGCAAAACCAAGGAGCAAAAAGGGCTTGCTTTTGTAACTTAGCAAAAATGTTGAGCACATGTTTGCCAGGCAAATGGAAACACTCTGGTTCTTAAGGGCCTTTTTATCTTTTCCCCTGTCGTCCCTGTGAACCCTTTTACATTACTGCTGCTAGGATACAAAACTTTGGTCCTTTATGTCTAGGGGAAGAATGAAAGAAATGTGTTGGGCTCCAAAATCAGACACCAAACATTGTGGTGGAAATGGGCCTTTTTATGCTCAGTGGCCTGGGGACTTTGGCCCAGGGGTGGAGAGCTAGTCTGAACAACATCACAAGATTCTTTTGGGGGGGGGGGGCGTGCAAGACAGGGTCCATGTAGCTCAGGTTGTCTTAGAACTCAATATATAGACCAAACTGGGCTCTAACTCACAGAGATTCCCCGACTCTGCCTTGAGTGCTGAGATTAAAGGTATGTGTTACCACACCCAACTAGAATGCTTTTTGATTTTTCAAGACAGGGTTTCTCTGTATACCCCTTGCTGTCCTGGAACTCACTGGAACCCGAGACCACCTGTCTCTGCCTTCTGAGTGCTGGGATTAGACACTTCTTCTTTCTTTCTTTTTTTTTTTTTAATATTTTACTTATTTATTATGTATACAATATTCTGTGTGTTTGCCTGCAGGCCAGAAGAGGGCATCAGACCTCATTATAGATGGTTGTGAGCCACCATGTGGTTGCTGGGAATTGAACTCAGGACCTTTGGAAGAGCAGGCAATGCTCTTAACCACTGAGCCATCTCTCCAGCCCCCTAGACACTTTTTCTTAAAGACTCGTCTGTGAGGTTTCTGAACAGAGAACACCTATCAGTTTCCCAGTTCACAGAGTATGACTCAGGAAGAACTGAGAAAAAAGTATAGGATTATAGTAAGTTAGTGCCCTAAAAACAACACCCAGGAGGGACAGGCTCCAGATGAGCCAGGGCCATAGGGTGAGCACCAAGAAGGATACTCCACAAAACAGAAGCCACAGGCCGTTTTCTTCATCTTATCCAGACCCATGATGATCTTCTTTATATCACCACTCTTGCTGAAGAGCTCATAAATCTGTTCTTCAGTTGTATAAAAGGAAAGATTTCCAACATATAATGTACAGCTTTTCTTCAGTAATTTTTCTTGTTCTTCATTGTCCCCCTAGAATTTCAAATAGACACCAAGTGAAACATTACAACCTCAAAAGAGATGTGCTTAGGGCTATAGATGCCCAGCCAGTAAAGCGTCAGCTGTGCTAGCCTGACAGTTGAGCTTGACCCGGAACCCTTCCTAGTGAAAAGCTGGATGTGGTGTCTCGCACGGGCAATCCCAGCACTCCTACAGGAGACGGGGCTGTGAGATGGGACAGTCTCCTTGAAGCTTGAGGCCAGCCTCGCCTGGAGTCCACAGTGCAGAGCAGAAACAAGAGTGAGTCCTCAGAGGTGAAAGTGAGGGACACTTCCTGACATTTCCTGTGCCCTCCACAAGCATAACACACACACAAAATGAACGGACTTGAAAACTAAATTCTAGAGCCTGCTTAAAGTTACAATCTTAAAGTTACACAGATGCCCCTTTTGATCTGGAAATTAAAGCTTTGCATCATCCGACCCCTGACAGACTCGTCCTTGCCATAAGAGGCAGTTCTGAAGCTGGGCGATGGCGGTGCATGCCTTTAATCCCAGCACTCGGAGGGCAGAGGCAGGTGGATATAAGTGAGTTCTACGCCAGCCTGGTCTACAGAGCGAGTTCTTTCCAGGACAGGCTCCAAAGCTACAAGAGAAACCCTGTCTAGAACCGCACCTCCCCCACAAAAAGAAAAAAAAAGTGAGTCTTTTTTTGTTGTTTTGCTTTTGAGACAGGGTTTCATGTAGCTAAGGCTTTTCTGAACCTACTATGTAACCAAAGATGACACCGAATTTCTGATCCTCCTGCCTCCACCTTCCAAGTATTGGGTTTACAGGCATTCACCACTCTGGGTTTATGTACAGCTTGGGGTCTACCTGAGCACTTCCTGCCTGCATGCCAGGCAAGCATTCTACCTATTGAGCTATGTCTACGTAGTCCAGTTACTTTGTTTTGCTTTTTGAGATAAGACCATAGCCCAATCTGGCCTCAAACTCCTGACATTCATGCTACTACCTCCACCAAAGGCTTCAGTAACAGGAATGGATCATCATACCCATCTCCCAAGTTATAGTTTTTTTTTTTTTGTTTTTGTTTGGTTTGGGTATATTATTTTATTCATATTGGTGTCTTGCCTGCCTGTTCGTCTGTGCACCATGTGCATGGCTAGTGTCTTCGGAGACCAGAAGAGGGCAGCAGATCAGCTGGAATCAGTTACAGATATTGTGAGCCATCATGTGGATGCTGGGAACCGACTCCAAGTCCTCCAGAAGAACAGTCTACGCTAACCTCTGAGCCATCTCTCTGACCCTCCTAGCTACAGTGTTAAAAAGGAAGAACGTGGAGCTATAATACGCAAGTGATTTTGCCTGCCCCTGTGAAGGCACAAAGGCCTGCAGGTGAGAAAGCTACATTTAAGTTTTAATTCTCAGAACTATGATGTGGTAGGTCCTAATGTATTAGTCCCATTGTACATGTGAGGGAAAACAGTTTCAGCTAAGGGAAAAACACAGGAGTTATATCCAGAATTCAAACTTAGTTTAGAGCTGAGCATGGTGGAGTATACTCTTTTAATCCTCTGGTGAGTTCAAAGCCAGCCTGGTTTACATGATGAATTCCAGGTCAGTCAGGCTATAAGTGAGACCTTGTCTCAAAAAGCAAAATAAAGTAAAATTCTGGTCTTATATCCCCACTGCAGCACTGCCTTAAGATCACGGCAGGTCTGAACAGGTGACGTCTATGGAACAGTAGTCACTGTGTGCTCGAACAAATAAACAGCCGGATGATGGGTGGCGTAAGCTTTCATTCCAGCGTTCCTGAGTCTGCCTCAGACGGATATGCAGGGGGATCCAGGACAGCCAAGGCGGTTACACAGAGAAATCCTGTCTCAAAAAACAACCCCAAAACAAACAACCAAAAACCCAATGAGCCTCAGGTTTTAGAACTTTAGATGAGCCATTAGAGAAAACAATCACTTCAACATTTCTTCGTACAGGTGCAGGCGGATCTCAAACTTGTGATCTTCCTGACCCAGTCTCCAGAACAGCTAGGACTACAGATGTCCCCACCACACCCGGCTAGCGGATTCACTTTGTACTGATGCTCTTTTCCCACAAGTAAAATCCAGTCTACTGCTTCAGCGTAATGTGATTTCCCACTCAGTGCAGCCCTGACACATTCCATGTAGAAGACACTTGAAAATGCACATGACAGAAATCATTACTGTTTGAAGGGAGCTACAGGCTTTTGACAAAAGAGTCCTTTCCTGGTTTTACCCAGGAAGCTTCAGGTGGAAAACGGTTAGGTATTAATGTGGAACTGTTCAAAGTAGTGAGACCTGTAAAAAGCGGCAGAAACGCCTATCAGACACACAGGAAACGTTTTCAAATTAGGCTAATTTTCGTTTTGTGAGCCAGGGTTTCCCTGTGTAGCCAATGGGTGTACTGGATTTTGTCGTCCAGACCATGATGTGACTCGTGTGGCTTGTCTATTTCCGATGCCCGACAGACAGCAAAAACAGGATTCAACTTTGAGTCTCCGACTTATTGCTCACTTTGTAGGATTGTCTTACAAAACAAAGGGCTGTAGTGCCAAACGGCAGCATTTGGCTGATTATTAAAACCAAAAACGGAGCCGGGCGGTGATAACACACGCCTTTAATCCCAGCACTCGAGAGGCTGAGGCAGGCGGATCTGTGAGTTCGAGGCCAGACTGGTCTACAAGAGCTAGTTCCAGGACAGGCTCCAAAAGCTACAGAGAAACCCTGTCTCGGAAAAAAAAAAAAAAAAACCGGCAATAATGTACGGAGCCATCGTAGGGATACCTCCTTCTTCATTACAGTCACTTTCCCAAGCAGGACAAGCCCATCCACAGCCACCACACCCGGACCTCCCCGAATCGGTGCTGGTAACCGCAGCGGCAGTAAGAGAATGTTAAAACAAGTCTCAGGTTCCCTAGGAGTGAAAGGGCTTCAGTGATATCTAAACTATCCAAACACCGCTAGGACCCCATTCGCACTTTAGGACCCCAACAAAACAGGCAGGAAGACACAATAAGACAGGTGCAAGCTGTTCCTCAGCATTCGGACCCAAGGCCTGCCCCTCTCGTGGCCCGGCCGCCTCACCCGGAAGTGCTGGTCCCGGTACTCGCTGAGCTCCACGTAGGAGTCGCTGCGCAGCGCCTTCAGGAGGCCACCGGACATGGTGCGAAGACACGAACCACGACGCGGCCACGGCTGGAAGAACCTGGCGGCGGCGGAAACGGAAATGTGCGCGGCGTGCTGCAGTGGGCGGACGTGGTCGGGTCCAATCCTGTCGCGGCTGTGTCGTCATCAGGAGGCGCCGACTTGTCCGTCGTCCGGTGTGGCCGGTAGGAAGGCGAGCGCGTCGGGCTCCGGGTTCCCGGGCGCTCGGAGGACGATGATTTTCCGGCGGCTGCTGGCTGTCCTGCTGCACAACCCGCAGCTGGTGTAGCTGCTGTCCGAGTCGCGGCCCATCCGGCGGGCGGCGCAACTCACAGCTTTCGCCTTGTTGCAGCTGCAACTGCGCGGCCGCGATGCAGCCCGCCGCCTGCGAGCCCTCGTGGGTCAGTCCCCGGGCTCTGTGGGGCGCCGAGTCGCGCGGTTCAAGGACACATTCATTCAGGAACTCCGCCGCGGCCTCCGGGAGCGTCCAGGACCACCCCCAGGTCATCAGAAGGGGCCGGGCACCAAGGCTTAAGCACAGACTGGACTCTGCCAGGCCGAGGTCACGTCCCCTCCTCCCTTCAGTGATCTACACCGACCTTTGCGTTCAGGAGTCATCTCGGGCACGATGCACTGCTTCGAATCCTGACTCGGATTGTCAACTTGCAGATGCCTACGTTCAAATGGACATGTGCTAGTCCTTTGACTGGCAGGACATAAAGACCCCGAAGGCTACCAGAGATAAAAAGAGTATTGCACTACTGAGAGCCATGGCCGACCATGGCCTGCTTTCTACAAGCGGGACTGAAACTGAATAAATGCTGGTACATCTACGTCTGGAGCAGAATAACAGGGAAGATGGTGGATGAAATGATAGCCCTGAGGTTGCCACAATCTTTGATTAAATGTGCAAGCTGATTGATAAGTCTGAAAGATCTTGCTAACTTAATAGTTAACACATTAAGTGTCTGTTGATATTTGCTCTTACATTCTGTGTGGTTTTTGACTTAAAACTCCGTTCGTGTCAGGGTGGAGGCTACTTTTTCGAGTAACTCAGAAGCCTTGCAGTGAGGTGAGCCAGGCATGTATCTCCAGGGTCTGTAGTCTTGATCACCCCCACTACTCTTCACAGCATCTGTGCTACTCAGAGACTGCCTTTTCTTTCACCTCTGATACCGTGGCACACGATGTTTGGCTTCCTCTTCTTGGTTTCGAGGGTCTGCTAGGGTACTCACTATGGCCAGCTAACTGAACTGTGATTGGGAGACCCATGCATGTAACCCCCTTGTCTTTTTGAGGCTACCTAACTCAATTTCTAGACCTCTATTTAAGCCACTCAGTTAACGTTGGCATCTAGAAGGCTTGAAGCTGTTGGAAAAGCTTTTAGACTGGGTACCAGATTCTGAGCAGTCTGTGTTCTCAGTTCCCCCTGGGGCGGGCTAAGAGGGCCTCATGGCAGCGCTGAGGAGGGAGAGCACCTGGGTTCTTCATTCTGGGAGAGTGATTCTTTTATTGGTGCAGGGGATAGTTCCTACAGCTTTGAGCCTGCTAAAGAGGCACTCGTCTCCTGAGCTACATCACCCAACCTTTGAGAGAATGGCTGGGAAAATTCCACCACTGCTCAAGAAAAGGAGTAGGAGAGGACAGGGAGGCATTTTCTAGAATGGCTTCTTTTGGTTCTACCCAAACAACTGCGTCTGCAGGCACCACAGTGCTATGAAATACAACTACGGCTTCCTAGCGAAAGAGCCTTGTGGAGACATGCGTATCAAACCATGGGACGTGAGCTATGGGCTCCAGGGCTCACACTGACCTCAGGATCCTCTGATCCGTCAGGGTGGTAGGTTGGCTAAGTGGAAGGGACTTCCTTCAGGTCAGTTTGTGAGTCACAGACTAGGGACTAGAGCTGACTGTGAGCCTCCTCTGTCCCCACTTCACACTGTGAGATTGGAAATGATGGTAGCAAGAAGTCAGGCCTTGTCGGAAGTTGGGCAGGGCCACTCAGGATGTCAGCAGCAGTTCATTGTCTTTGATAACCAGATGCGATTATATATTTTAGACATTACAGCAATCGAAAGTAATGGCGTAGAAACAGACACGTTCCAGTGGGTGTGCTAGGTTTCTTTGGGGACCTTGGCATTGGGACCATGACTGGTCAGATCTTTGGTATCTCACCTAGAGGAACAACCTGTCACTGTGCCCAGAAGAGCCAGCAGTGGGAGTCTGTTGCAGTGTCCCAGCCCAGTAGCCTGTGTAGAAGGTGGGGTGGCACCTTCCTTCTATGGCTGAATCTTGGGCCATGGCTCCTTTGTCATGACAGGCCGTCCTCCAGCTCTATGATGTGAAGACTAAGGTGGGTCCTCCAAGCCTGGCTGAGTAGGGAGGACAGGGCTGGAGGGTCCTCCAGGGTCAAGTGGGGAAACAGGAGGGTCTCATTCTTGAGAGGAAGACCGCACTTCTCCAGAGCATGCCTGTTGGTCCCTGGAGTTACTACAAAGAGGCGGCAGAGCTGTGGCCCGCCGGCCAGTCGGCAGGCTGGTTGTCCGCTGAAGTTGTTCAGGGCTTGGCACAGGAGCCAGTCCTCAGCCCCGCCCATGTCCACCACCTCCACAGGCGATGGCAGGCCTGAGAGGTGCAGGAGGTGCTGGGGAGGCATGTAGGTGTGAGTGAAGAGAAGCATGTAGTGTGTGGTCGTGCCCGGGAGGGCGGGTGCATGGACTACGTGTTCCAGATACTTCAGGCCGGGTACCAAGCCTCCCTGATGCAAGCAGCCAAAGATGAGAGCACCTAGGGCATTGAAGAGGACCAGGGTGCCCTTCCAGGGTATAGGCTGGGTTTGTGGACTGCAAAGCAGGACTAGAGGGACTATGAGGGGAATCAGGAATCTAGGCTCTTGGTGGCTAAAGGCAGATAGCAGGACCAGGGGTGTGAAGTAGAGGAGAAGGAGATGAGACTTGGGGCTAGACGGTAGGCCACGGGCACCCAGCACCCCCAAGAAGCCTGTTTGTGCAAACACATGGAAGCAGCTATGGAGTTGTTGCCATGCAGCCTGCAGGGCTTGAGCATGCAACACCCCGAAGAGCAGGAAGCCATTGACTGCCAAGTGAGTGAGCCGTGCATGTGTACCATGCCTTGCGAGGTTTTGGGGGTCCAGATTGTAGTACAAGAAGTTGAGAGGTGTGAGAACAAGGCTACTGGATCTGGAGAGGCTGGAGAAGTACCAGCTGTCCACGGTTATAAACAGCATTGCAGCAAGAGCAGCCCCTGGCAACAGCACCAGGGCCTCCTGGATCAAGGCCGTGATGCTAGGTTTCGAGGTTCTGTGGATGCCCCAGAGAGAGAGGGGGACCAGAGCAAAGGCTAGAAAGGTTGGCCGATTGAAGAAGCCGGCAGCCATGAGAGCACCAAGAAGGCAGCTATGGCACCATGGGCCTGGAGTAGGCTTCTCTGATGTGGGATTCCATGCCACATAAGGGGACACCAGCACCAGCAGCCATGTGAAGAGCAGTCCCTCGATGGTGTTGGAGAAAGTCCTTGTGTAGAAAACCAGGGTGACATAGGACCCAGACAGCAGGCACATAGCATTCCAGCGATCTGCCCCCCACAGCGGGGCCAGGTAGTACACAGCCCAGTCCAGGGCAAAGGAGAGGGTAGTGAAGAGGAGTCGGGGCCCCACCAGCAGCACGTAGCCACTCACCAGACCAGGCCAGAGCCCCAGCTCTTCCCAGAACCTGAGCAACCAGAAGGTAGAGCCAGAGGTCAGCAGTGGGAAGACCACAGTACGGCAGGAGCTGCTGGGGTAAAATTCCCAGGGCCGTGAAGCCTGCACACCCAGGATGTCCTCTGCAGAGAGAGAGGCAGGGGTGAGCCAGTTCCAAGTTTAGGCTTGTGCCCGGAAGAGTTAGGGGTCAGCACCAAGATTGCAAGGCCTCCTAGTGGACACTTCCAGCACAACCCCTGGGCTTGCACCCGGTGGTTTCCTGCTTTGGTAAAGCTACTTTGTGGGAGAGTCTCTCAGGTGGCCTGTCTTCTCTCCCCAGCTCTGGACCAGCGGAGACCATCCTGGATGCAGAGGAGACAGGCAAGGAAACAAAGCAAGAGAAAGATTGTATGTGTCCCTGCTGGTTTAAGGATGAAAGGGCCTTTGACAACAATGTGGGGGACCTCCAGAAGCGGCAAGGAAAGAGCGAACATGGTTCCTTCCATAAGTGGGGTGAATAAAATTCTACCGTCAAGAATGAGCTTGGAGGGGTTTGGAGAGATGGCTCATCGGTTAAGAGCATTGCCTGCTCTTCTAAAGGTCCTGAGTTCAATTCCCAGCAACCACATGGTGGCTCACAACCATCTGTAATGAGGTCTGGTGCCCTCTTCTGGCCTGCAGGCATACACACAGACAGAATATTGTATACGTAATAAATATTTTTAAAAAAATGAGCTTGGAAGCCAAGCATGGTGGCACCTGCCCAGAACTCCAGGACTTGAGAGGCAGAGGCAGGAGGATCAAGAGTTTAAGGTCAGGGAGTTTGTGCCTATGCCCATGAGAGAGACTTATCTCAGAAATACAGGGAGGAGACTGAAAAGTTCAAATCTACTTTTTGAGCTGGGTGGCAGAATTAGGCTTCCCACGCCACGATCCTAGTCCTCAAGCTGAGTGTGCTAATGCATTTGTTTTTTGTTTCTTTTGTTTTGTTTTGTTTTTGGTTTTTTGTTTGTTTGTTTTTTGGTTTTTGAGACAGGGTTTCTCTGTAGCTTTGGAGTCTATCCTGGAACCAGGCTGGCCTTGAACTCACAGAGATCCACCTGCCTCTGACTCCTTCAGCAAATCCTGCTGGTATGCACCACCACAACTGGCTGCTGGTGCACACTTGTAACATTTAGAGGCTGAGTGAGAATGCTACAAATTTGAGACCAGCCTTAACTGTATAGAGAGATGCTATCTTAAAAGGGCAAGATAATCAAACCGCCAGGTGGTGGTGGCACATGCTTTTAATTCTAGCACTCGGGAGGCAGAGGCAGGTGGATCTCTGTGAGTTCGAGGCCAGCCTAATCTACAGAGTGAGTTCCAGGACAGGCTCCAAAGCTAGAGAGAAACCCTGTCTCAAAAAAAAAAGAAAAAGAAAAGAAAAGAAAATCAAACCAAGTGTCTTTGAATCTTTCTCCTTCTCTCCTTCAGTCTTTTAGCTGGGCACATGGCCAGATATAAGGGCTTTATTCCCCAGCTGTTTTTATGACTGATGTGGTCATGTGATACAGTCTGACCAGTGGGCTAGAAGTGTATAACAGTCAGGTGGTGTGGTGACTCTTGCACTCAGAAGCCTTGCTAGGAGCATTGCTATGAGTTTAAGGGCAAGCTTGGGCTGCAGTGTGAGCCCCTGTCTCAAAAAACAAAATAATTGCCTGCCCATTGTGCACAAAATCCTGGGTTCAATCCCAAGCACAGCATAAACCAGGCATAGTGGCACCTGCCAGTGATCACAGCACTCTAGGAGTGGGGGCCAAAGAATCAGGTTCGTGGACATAGGCAGTTCAAAGCCAGCCTGGGCTGCATGAGACCTTGTCTCAAAAAAGAAAAGACGGGCCGGGCGAGGGTGGTGCACGCCTTTAATCCCAGCACTCGGGAGGCAGAGGCAGGCGGATCTCTCTGAGTTCGAGGCCAGCCTTGTCTACAGAGTGAGTTCCAGGACAGGCTCCAAAGCCACAGAGAAACCCTGTCTCGAAAAACCAAACCAAAGAAAAGACGGTGAGTCTGGAATAGTGGTGAACTCCTTTCCTTTAATCTAGGACTCGGGAGGCAGAGGTAGGAGGGCCTTGCTGAGTTTGAGGCCAGAGTGAGCTCCAAGACAGCCAGGATGTCATAGAGAGACCATGTCTAAAAAAGAAAAGGACTGGAGAGATGGCTCAGCAGTTAGCACTGGCTGCCCTTCCAGAGGACCTGAGATCAAATCCCAGCAACCACCTGCTGGCTCACAGCCATCTGTGATAGATGC